TAACGGTCCCACATGGCTCGCGTTGCGCCCGATCGCAGCGTGGTCCTATAGGCGGCGTTTTTTTCTCTGCGGCTTCTTGACATTCCCCATCGTACCAGTTGTTCTTTCGGGCTCGCTGAAATCCAACCACTTCTTCGGCGGCGATACTTACTAATCGGAAAATGTGGTTCCACTGCTCACGCATGTCGGATTGTTGAAGAGTGCTGTCAAAGAACAGGGTTCTTGTTTTTCGATGTGGAGACAGCCATGTAGCTTGGTAGATGTTCTTATGCTGGAACCTAGTAATGCATGTTTCGGGCCCCGGCGATGTCGATTAGCCTGTCCGTTATCGGACGTTTCGTTGTGGAGGCTGAATTTTCCGACAGTGGCGCCAAAGATCACTTCCTTGCCCACCTTGGCATTAAAATCGGCAAGCACGATTTTGACGTCGTTTCGGTGGGCTGCGCTCATATGTACGTTCCAAGCGCTCATAGAAGAGATTCTTGGATGCCTCATCCTTCTCTTTCGTTGGTGCATGGGCGCAGACTACGCTACGAAAAACGAAAAATCCATATGCTGCAACCCTTGCGGAAACATGTGCAGCATTGCCAGCTATCAGTTGTTTTTCGAAGATAGCTGAATGAAGGAAATCAAAGTGGAAATGAATTTAAAAAATTCTCATGAAGTGTTTATTTATAGAAAAATTGTTGATTTTACATATTTAGAAGGAAACAAGGGATTCTATAGCATTTGCAACTGTAGCAGTATTAATAAACTAGTGGTCGGAAATTCGAAACATTTATTTTAAAACAATTTTCATCGTTTGGTTGCACGTGATGTTAAAGTTTTTGGATTCGGGTTATGCGTTTGAACACAACAACCGAAAATTATTGTACAAATAACTAAACCGGACCCAAGTTTTTCGATAAGGGGCGACAAAGCTTCTTTTTTACAAGTTTATATAAAGCAGTGGATAAAAATATACGTATATGCGAAAAGCAAATTTATCTGTTTAAATGAATACCACTACAATTTCCTGCAAACACACATCGCTTTATATCTTTTATCTCGCCTCCGACACAGAATTGTTTTCGTACAAAATTACACAAAAAAGCTTACTCGTTCGTTTTTAGGCATGCCATTGTTCGTAGCGAAATCCGAATACGAAAGAATTGCAGAATAGGGGTGTAAGTTAGTTTACACCGGACAATACTGTCATGACAATAGCAATACATGCACACTTTTTTATCAATACATGCATACTTCTTCAATTATATCAATCCCTGTCTTGATTGTTTTGAAGACAGTAAATTGGACAATGATTTGACGTATGCAGACAATAATTTTGACATCTTGTGCAAGAAAGAAGAGAAATTCATAAAAAACTAACTATAATAATTAAAGAGACGCTGACGTGTATTTAATTTTGTGTCTTCCTGTTTTTAGTTTTTAGCTCAAATAGCTCGCGCGAAATGCATATTTCTGCAACTTATAATTCAACGTTCACGTTCGACCTTTTGGTCACAACGAATTGTCTTAATTATTGTCAGGACGCCTACGCCACGGAGACAATTAGCGTTTTTGAGAACTAATACGATTTTCTTTATTGTCTTGCCAGCATTGTCCAATGTAAACGCGCATTTAGAGAGCGAATTACGATGAATGGCAGCTTCACAAAACAAATAGCTCGAGCGAAATGCGTATTTCTGCAATTTATAATTCAACGTCCACGTTCGACCTTTTGCTCACAACGAATTGTCTTAACTATTATCAGGACGCCTACGCCGCGGAGAGAATTAGGCTTTCTGCACATTGGTCGTCCAATCATAGTCGCTTCATCGTCATAATCGTGATGCAACGATTACATGACGACTACACTATTTTGATTCCTTTGGTGTCTAAAAATTCACTTGAAGCAGGTATTTTCTGGTCGATATTTTCGCGAAATATTTATAAAACCCTGCAATTTTTAAAATATGGACTGTCCTGCAACGTCTGGACATAATTGTTCAGTAATATCTCTTCTTTTCTTTACTTGAAACCTGTTTTGTACACGCACGCGGAGACTTTTTACAATTTCGTTTTTTTTTTATCGTTAAAACTCTCACATTTGTTGAATTTATTGGAATTATCCACTTTTTAATAATTTCCACAGATTTTATGCAAAAAATTCATTTTTATGCAATTTTAATGCAAATATTAACATTTTCAATAATATAGCTGATAGCTAGCCGATAACGACAAGTGTGCAGATCTCCTTTTAAGTGCATGTGCTCGGCTAAAAATTTCTGGGCGAGACGATAACGCAACTATTAAGGCCCGTCCACATAGAACTTTGGCGTTGCGTTGGCGTTGGCGTCGCTTCAACAGCTGACTATGAATACATGAATTCAAATGCAGCCGTCCACATAGTCGAAATTCGACAACGCTCACGCCAACACAAAGCAAAGAGATGGCCAACTCTCAACTTTTCGCGTGCGTCGCTCATCAGCTGTTGCAAATAAATAAAATTATGTGAAATATTTTTCCTTTTTAATCAAGTGCGGACAAGAAATATCGTTTTTAATGCAATTATTGATATGAAATATTAATTAATCTGTCGTTGGTATGTTAATTTAGTCGTCCAAGCATTCGCTGCCAAGCTTTCATTGTAGCAAGCATACTTTTAACGTGCGTTCTGTCAAACCAACGCCAACGCCAAAGCAAACGCGAAAGTTCTATGTGGACCGGCCTTAAGGCTGTTTTTGCTTACGCGTAAAAGCACATTTAGCGCATTTAGCTCTAAATGCTACTCTAAATGTACATTTATCCATACAAAATTCGTCACCTAAATGCAACTAAATGCAACTCCATTTTTGCATTAAGAATCTAAATGCTAAAAGCAACCCTGTGATCTTCCAAAATTTCCACGATTCGAACATGGTTTAAAGAGAAAAAGTGGCAACATTGCTTTTTCGAGTATACAGTTGCTAGCTACGTTTCAGTGATCGCCGATCGAGGTTTCTTTTATTTTGCATTACATATTTGGATAAAGAAAAGTTAAGCAAATTCAACATCGATTTGATGCTGATAGAAATCTGGGTCAATTTGTGATCAACTCGGTTCGTTTTGTTTCCTAATTAAGTGAGAAATTTTTAATTGACAGCACCGACAAATGAATATATACACAAACAAATTTTCGGTTATGGTTAAAACAATACAAGTTTTTGTATTGAATTTTTGGTTTAAAATTTATTTTTTCCTTTTCAGTAGGGTTTTTGCACATTATCTCCTGCGTGAGAATTGATCGTAATATATACGCATCTAAATAAGAGACTGGAACACGGCTGTTTGTCAAAAGCATACGATTTCGAACTCGCGTAAATGTACATTTGCTAAATGCTATAGCATGAACGCTCTTCGAAAACATATGTTCGAAAGTGCTAAATGTTGAATTTTTAATGCAGCAAAAACGCTGCATATGATTGGACGACAAGGCAACGACTTTTTTGTTGTCTTGCCAGCATTGTCCAATGTAAACGCGCATTTAGAGGGCGAATTACGATGAATGGAAGCTTCAAAACACAAATTATCGATATAACGATAGTATAGTCGACGTTTTTCCACCTCTGGTGTTTTTTCAATTTTAGAGGATATGATTTTGTAAAACTCGGTAAATTATGCAAACTGAATCCATAGATAAGATTCGAAAAGGGAGCGTGTCGTACAGCAAGTTTTATAAAAGATATATTAAGAATAACTGCCCCGTTATTATAAATTGTGTGTCGAATAAGTGGGAGTGCAGTAAGAGTTGGATAGATAGCGACGGCGGCGAACATGCAAGCGTTATAAATTTTACTTATCTAAAACATAAAATAGCCGATCATTTGGTGACTGTAACAAAGTGCTCTCCAAATTATAAGGAAAATTGTTTAGTGAAGTTGGGTTTCCACAACTTTTTGGACTTCTGGGAAAAACAAATTAGTTTTGAAAGTGGGGAGTTGAATTCTATAAATGAAGAACCAAATCTTTATTTGAAGGACTGGCATTTGAAGGCTCAATTTCCCCTTTATGAATTTTATAAAGTACCATCTTACTTTAGTTCAGATTGGCTAAATGAATATCTTGTTAACCATGGCCGAGATGATTATCGATTCGTATACATGGGACCAAAAAATTCTGGGTAAAATTGTCTTAATCTCTTAAAATGTAATTGCAAAGCTTTTACACTTGTAGAACAGGAGTCCTTTCCATGTAGATGTCTTTGGATCATTCAGTTGGTCTACTAATATATACGGATGCAAGAAATGGATTCTTCTACCGCCCGGTGAACAATATAAACTAAGAGATTGTTTCGGAAATATTAGTTGTAATATAAACGAAAAAGAATTAAAAGAAAGTAATGTGTCTTTCTATGTAATTTATCAACAAAGAAACGAAGCTGTATTCGTACCAAGTGGTTGGTATCATCAAGTGTGGAATATTACTGATACTATATCGGTCAATCATAATTGGTTCAATGCAGCAAATATAAGATACATATGGCATAATATGTCAGAAAATTTGAGGAAAGTAATTGATGAAATCAAAGATTTCAGAAGAATATCGAACTTTGAAGCAGAGTGCCAAGCAATTCTTCGTGCTAATTTTGGATTAAACATATCGGATTTCCTCGATATTTTGCGTTTTATATGTGAGACTCGGTGCCATTTGATTACAAACAGACGCAAAAACTTATTAAATATGCCTACAAGTTTGGTAGCAGACTCCCACTTGCACAACGACTTAAAAAACATCAATGTAGTTTTGAAAGCTATGACTCAGGATAAATTCGTGCATAGTTCTACTGCATACGAAAGATGTATGAAATATATACATTTATAAGTTGCATGCAAATTTGTTAATAAAAAATTGGGTTGTGTTCTTATGTTTTTGTTTATTTCGATATAATTGAAGTGACTTCCAAATTTGCATGAACACAGAAAAGTCTGTTAAAATATTCGGTAAAAGTGCACTTTAGCGTAACCAGGCCAAAATTGATGAAAACAAATTCAAGAGTGGTATCAATCAACGCGTTTTAATGGGAACAACAATAATCCAAGACCGGAAATTCATATTTTTAATTCATTAAAGAGTTATTCGCAAGAAACACTTGCACTTTTCGCACTATGTTTTGATGAATTTGACGCAAATAAATGGAGTAAATGAACTCAACTGGGCCCAATTGCACCAACGGCTTATCACTTATCACTTAACAACTTTTAGATAAGCCTTTTTTTGAAAAGTAAAGTTGATAAGTATTGCACTTTTTACTTATCAAAAAAAAAATCATCTTATAAAAAATGAGTAACTGACAAGTTTTTTGGATAAGTCTATTTGATAACCATTGCACAGCTAATTTCTTTTGCTTTGGAAATAGAGGAATAATGTGCTTAACTAAAATGATTACCTTCTATTAATGGAAAACGAAGGCTTAGGAAGCCCATATGCGATTTGATAAACATTTTCAACTTCTCTTTTTTTCTTACTATGTCGTGCGCCACTAAATTGGCTGTGTTAAAAATTTTTAAGGAAAAAAAATAAGTCCTGACTATCATATGTACATATGTTTATTTAAATAACTATACTTTTCTACATTCTAGAATTATTTATTTGGATCTTTCCGAAATAATTCAGTAACAAAAACACAAAAACCACCTTGCATTAATTGAATGATTTCCGTACCGGCTAACAAATTGGTAAGAGTAACCTTAGGGGCGTCTCTGTTTATCATAGTTCCATCAATGCACCCTTCGTTTTAAGGAAATCCACCAATAATGAAAAATTGTGTGACAATATTTTGCGTAATTCCGGGCAACAAATAGTTTCATCCATCACGGCATTTGCCACTCGATGAATTACTCTACATAGCGCTAATTTGTGGACCCCATGCATTTGACCATGCCATTATTAGGAGTGTTCGCTATGCAAAAAATTTGTACAAGTTGGTACCAATTGTTACCAAATCGTGTTCGTTTAGCCAAAAACTCAGTAAAACTTGCAAGGAGAGAGCACAATTTTGACATTTCATTTAGAGGGGAAGTTGCAAATTGGTGCTGGGAAAATGTTTGCCTGTAAGAATTTGCAAGCAGGATTGTGGCACACGGTTGCATTTTTGTCCACATTAATTTGAATCAACGAGTTCGTTAAATTTAAAAATGAACAATCTTGCGATTTACTAATGAAAGAAGTAATAACTAATTGATTATTCAATTAATTTAATAAATTCCAAACATTTGAAAGGTACCCGGCTGAAAAAGTTGTATTCGTAATCGGAACGCACTCGACACCGCTGTCGATATAGGAAATCCGACAGTGAATTCCACAAAGAAATTGAAGCGTATGTTGAAGAAAGTCAGAATAAGAAGAAATATACGTACAGGTCCTGTTTTGATTTCCACCTGATATAATTTAAAAAATTTATTATGCTCGAAATGCAACCGTGGACGCCAGCTGGCAGTGAATCTGGCAAATGTTTGCTAATTCGTGTTCGCGCAATACTTAGTAAATTTCTCTCTTTGGGAGAGTAAGGTACTTTATTCTCTGAATTTTGTTACTGGCTAATTCTTACTGGCAGTTGCATAGCGAACACTCCTACGAGATATCCGAAATTTTCTACTGTAAACTGTAGTTGATTTGTTCTTTTATGATACGCCTTTTATTATTTGCTGACTGTCCTCTAAATAAAATAAATTTAATATTTCGAATCGAAGCGTTTTTTGTGTCGATATTTCATCGTATCACGTGTTAAAGCACCGATTAATTCATTCCTTATCATGTTGGTGAAACACAAAACTTTGCGCAAGTTCGATAATTTGCTTAAATGCTAATGATAACTCGTTGGTACAATAGGGCCCTGAACACGTATTCAATAGTTTTTATAAGTGTAAATTTTTACGAAATTCTGTATTAAATTGGAATATTAAATGCATTTGTTTACTCATTTCCAGTACAATCCAGTAAAAGTTTTAACGAATTTTCATGTTTTGGAGTTTTCGTACGCAAAAACTTGCAAAGTAGGGAAAATTGAGAGAGCGAACACATGAAAACATAGCATCAAATGTTAAATCCTATTGCAAAAGTCGCTATAATACTTATTTATACACTTTCAAAAGTCTACATCTTCTGATGAACTTAGAAAACTGCAAGAAAACGAGGTAGTTTCGGTGCCTAGTTGAAGGCGTCGTAAAAAAGAAGCAGACCAATCTTCATGGAAGAGAGAACGCGAAAAGCTAAAAAAAGATAGTTATGCAAAAGTTACTGTTTCAAAACTCGCTTTATTAAATTTTTATATATAAAATTTGCAAAAACTACCACACTGCGATTTTGTTTTTTAATGTTATTTGGCTCTTGTTTATCCAAATTTTCAGATAATAAAGAGAAATATACAATTTGGATGTTACTTGTTGTTGTAGGCGTTTTTTAAATTTATGGCTTACTATTATTTTTTTTTTTTTTTTGGGCTTTAGGAACAAATCGAAAGTTCCATTTATGGCTAGGTTTATACACCTTAAATAGCCGGTTATTAAATCGTGATGTATTCAGTGGTTCTCGTTGTCTTATTCCATTTGAATACGATAGTGTTTCTTTTCTAAGTCGAAATGCTATTTGTCCCAAACGCTGTGGATTACAGCTTCCTTTAGCGTAACACCAGTCTATCTGCGAACGATTGTTTGGTTAGTTGTAATCTTTCGGCTAAACTGCTGGACAATGTTGCTTCCATTAATCTTGTATCGACGTGTTTTGTTGAAATTCCGCGTTGAAGAGTGTTTTATTATACGACTCCTTGATGTTGCTTCTTCCTGGCTGATGTTAGCGTAACAGCTGCTTTCCTCATTCTTATTTTATGACATTTAAGAACAACACAAGACTACATAAGACAATACACCAAGACTGAAAACACAAACATAGAATGACAGATTGAGTACATTTGTTTAAACGAATGTTATAAGTTGATATATAACTAGTAGTGAAACTAATCAGTTGAGTATATTTTATCTCATTTGTATAAAACATACAATAGTTTTGTATATTTTAATGCTTTCTAAGTTAAATTTTTTATT